TGAATGAGTGCGGAGTTGATGGAAGCTTCTTGAAGCATCGTAAAAAAGGGCTGGTCCAGCCCACTTTGTCCGTTAATTCCTCAGCTTCTCCTCACTAATTCCTCTCACTTTCTGACACAACACTTTCGCTCTGCCACTGTTCATCTTTCCTAGTCATCTCTCGGCACAGTCATTCATTATTGCACTTCTTCTAGCTTGCAATCATGGCTGAGACTCAGCGTACGTACTGCCCCGTCTAGTGTGGGGTTCTCGACCTCGGGATGAGGGGTTACTGATTTGGTGTGATCGCAGGTCGTCCTCGCGTCTACTTTGACATTCAGATCGGCAGCCAGAAGGCCGGTCGTGTTGCGCTAGAATTGGTGAGATTACCAGTCTGATTTCGTCAATTGGGCCGCTCAGCTAATGTTTGACTGTGTAATCGCAGTTCAACGATGGTACGAAACGTGTTTCCAGTTTTCGTCGCTGAGATACTAATGGTCCCCCAGTCGTTCCCAAGACCGCAGAGAACTTCCGTGCCCTTTGCACAGGAGAGAAGGGCATGGGAAAGCAAGGAAAACCACTGAGCTACAAGGGTACGACCTTCATCCTGTCTCTTCAAGGTGCGACGATTCAGAGTCTTACGGTTGCGCGCGCTTAGGGTCCATTTTCCACCGTGTGATCAAGCAGTTTATGATCCAGGGTGGTGACTTTACCAATTTCAATGGGACTGGTGGTGAATCCATTTACGGCGAGAAATTCCCCGACGAGAACTTCGAGCTCAAGCACGACAGGCCTTTCCTCCTCTCGATGGCCAACTCTGGTCCAGGCACCAATGGCAGCCAGTTTTTCGTCACCACTGTCCCGACCCCCCACCTGGACGGCAAGCATGTGGTTTTCGGTGAGGTGATCAACGGAAAGAGTATTGTTCGCAAGATCGAGAACATGCCTACCCAAGCCGACAAGCCTACCACTGACGTGACCATCGTCGACTGCGGTGAGCTCACTGGCGAGGACTACGAGAACGCCACCAAGCAGGTTGCCGATGCCACCGGAGACCCCTACGAGGACTACCCCGATGATCACCAGGGCGAGGAGCTCAACGCTCAGGTCTGCTTCAAGATCGCTTCCGAGCTAAAGAACTTTGGCAACACTGCTTTCAAGAGCGGCGACCTTGTCCTTGGTCTTGACAAGTACCAGAAGGGTCTGCGCTACCTGAACGAATTTCCTGATCCCGATGAGAACGACCCCAAGGACCTCGAGCCTCAGATGAAATCTCTTCGCTTCACTCTTCACTCCAACTCGTCCCTACTCGCGAACAAGCTTGGTCAATACAAGAATGCCCAGAACTGGGCTACCTACGCCCTTGAAGTCGCCGACGCCGCCAACGCCAAGGAAGCAGATAAAGCCAAGGCCTACTATCGCCGCGCTGTCGCCTACGGTGGCCTGAAGGAGGAAGATGAGGCTCTGAAGGATCTCCAGGAGGCTTTGAAGCTGGCCCCCGGTGACGCTGGCATTCTTAATGAGATCGCCAAGGTCAAGAAGGCGATCAAGGACCGTGAAGCCATGGAGAAGGCCGCGGCTCGGAAGTTCTTCTCATAAAGCATCGGCGTCATGGTTCATCGGTCAATGACTCATGATTTTATGTATTCCTTTCCTTTCAGTTGCGCACAAAAGCGGCGATGCCCATTGCATTTCCTTGCGATTCCCCGTTCTCGAGCAGTCAGGAGCTGATGGGGTTCCTGGGCCAATATTTTACCGGCTCTGAAGCATGGTGATTGGCGCATTGTGTTCGTTCTCGCGTGATACGCCCAGCAATTGTTCAACTAGCGTATGAATAAAATAATTCCAACAAGAGGTCGAGTATATGGGTCTCTGAAGCGGAGTCGCGAATTTAAACATGGTAGGGGTAGATCACGATCGACTATTGGTAGCTGCAAGGCGACATCAGTCCTGGGGCCGGAATTTGCTATCCCGACGATCCATATACAGATTCTCTGTGGTTCAGCAGATACAATAGAAACAGGATTCAGCAACTGAAGGGATATGATTACACCATTCTCTCAATACCTAAATAACAGCTCATACCTGATCTTTGAAACGCAGACAACCCGAGCAAATATCTACGAAACCGAGCGTCCCGTCTCAGCAAGGAATTTCTCATAACGTCCCTTACACATCCGTCTCCAGCTCTTGCCCCAGATCAACAACGGTCCGGCCATAAGCATGGACAAGAGCACCCAGATGCCAAAGAACGTAAGCGTCCAGCCGTAATTCGTTGCGTCGATGAAATGCTGCACCGAGAAGGAAATGGCGAAGTTGATGCAGGAGGAACAAATGGCGAGGACGATGACGAGTTCTCCGGACATCTAACCTTGTCAGACGATACTAGTCTCACTTCGGGGAATAAGGGGGATTTGGGAACTTGTTTAAGGGGAAGACCTACCCGGTCGAAGCACTCCATTGCATATGCGGTCGCGATACTCGTCGCAGAGACTTGCTGTGCGATCATGCAGCAGAGTCCGATGGCGATTGAGATCCAGTGGTCACCGGCTGTGGCGCCCCAGCCGTAGGTGAAGTAGCCTATAGCGCCGAGAATGAACGGGAGGATATAGGCCCAGAGACGCATCTCGGGTTCTTTATAGCCTTTATTCCGACGGGCTAGGAAGAGGACGATCCAGTCTGAGAAGGAGCCGATGCCCATGCTGGTTCACTGTTAGATTGAAACTGTCAAGAGTCCCTTGTTGGAAGAGATTGTTGGTATGCTTACCCGATGAAGTTACCGACGAGAGCAGCTAGGAACAGTAGACCTACTGAGCCTGCACTCCAGTTGTAGGGTGGCTCCGTCATGATCTCCGAGATGGTGTTGAAAGAGATGATGCCGGCTGTACAGCCAAAGGCAAATTGAATGCCGGCCAGCACAATGTTTGGAAACGCAAAGAGGTAGAACGGACGCCGGAAGTACTGGTACCAAGTCGTCTGGTCATCTTCGAGGTAGTGAATCAGGGCGACTTTCTGGCGATAGGTCCGAGGTGGAATGTCGACTTCACCGGCGCCATGGCTAACAGCCACAGACATAGACGGTTCCAGCTTCTGATCCTTTTCAGAGGTGACTTGTGCGTCATCCTGTGTGGTGCAAGTCCCGACCTTCGCAACTGAAGGGCCTCCATCCCCGAATCGGTATCTCGGGAACATGGTATCATCGAACGTGAAGATGAAGAGTAAGATCAAGATTCCCTAATGTGAGTCAGCTCCGAAATCTCGGTCAAGGTCAAAACAGTCGAAGCCTTACGCATGCAATCGCAACAATAGGCTGGCTCCATCTCCAGCCGATACCATCAGTGATGTAGCCTCCCAGGATCAGGCCCAAGATAGAACCCAGCTGCTGGAAGAAAATGTAGATGGCCACCATTCTACCACGCTCGTGCGCAAAGAAAAGATCGAAGATCTGGGGTGGTTCGTCAGCAGAAGGATCCTAATCAATAGTGACTCAATGCCAACCGTTAATTGAATAAGAGCTTGATATGCGGCCGTTCCAATGCCACCGATAGCAAGCATAGCGTAGTACTGGGCTGTGCCTTCGAAGTACGCACCCCAAATACCGCTGCCGAGAACGAAGAGCAAACTCAGAATGTAAACAATCTTTCGTCCAAGTTTCATTGCCGTGGGGATCCAGATTACATTGAAGAATCCAAGCAAGAGGTAGTTGAGGGCAGAACCCCCGTTCATGTTCTCCAGAGTAACTCCAGTCTCCTTGGCTATGGTTGTCCATGCTGCACCCCAATTGTTTTCGCCAAAGGAGTTAACGCACGCATAGGCAGATATAAGAAAGAGAGACCAGTATTTCTTGCTTCTAGACCAGTTCTAGCCAAGGAATCAGTACCTGGCCTAGAGCCCTCGGACAACTCAAACTTCACTCACCAGAGGATCAGCAGGGGAGGATGAAGGCTGCGGAATCAGAAGAATATCTTGCCCTGCATGGGCAGCACCAGTTAAAGTCGCGGTGGCTATACAAAGATTAGTCGACCACCGTGTCTCATTTCAAAGGATGTTATTACCGTCGACCAGGTATACAGTTCCTGGGACATCTGTGTACACATCATCCGAACGAGCCATCATGTGTCAAATTGATATCCACAGAAGAATTGCTTCCACTATCGAGCATCACAGGAAATCATGTCCTTTAAATACCTTCACGGGCATAATACACTCGGAAATAGAGTTACAATAACTCGTTTTGAGCCGAGGGTTGAGCATGTAGCTTCCCAATGACATTCAGAGATAGTGATTCGGAATAACTTCGATCCCACTCCATACCCCTCACGATAACCCTGAAAAGGTATGCTATTGGATAGCGGGTGACCAGGGAATATTGCCTCTGAGACAGCATTGATGCAATGAGATAAACGCGCTGTGGGTCATGATGCGTTGACCTCAGGAGAGGGGGGGATACGATGGGTGACTGAAACGAGGAAGCTCTAAACGACAGTCAAATAGCAAGATCCAATGGAATACAGTATAGCTGACAGAAAGACGAGGAGATTCCCGCGATGTCACTGTCTTGTCTGTGTCAAAGCAACAGGGGTTAACAATTCGGCGAGCTCGACCAATGCCTTCATCTCGGGGTTGGTCAGGCGATAAGCCAGATCAAGTATATCGACCAAGGCTCTTTAGCCATCATTATGGGTCTGATTAAAGATGCGGAGATATGACGATCTTTGATGATTTCCCCAGACTTTCTGGATGCGTCCAAGAGACGAGGAAGGTCCAGCCGGTGAGCTTCAAGAAATCCGAGGCGGGGAAAAACCACAGATCCACAACATGATAAGACGGTCTCTGTCAGTAGCGTCATGCTTGAGGCAAACAGCTCGGAACGATCCGACACTGATTTGACTTGATATGGCATGATAGCATGCGCCATTTCTATCATTGAAATACAGCTTCACTTCCAGTCGCAGATGAATATCTCGTTGACATCTGTCCCATCCGCGTTGCTAGTATAATCACTGCCTCCAACTGGTACAATGGCGCCTTTGAACGTCACCACCGAATCTTCCATTCTCATTATTGGGGCAGGCACATGGGGCTGCTCAACTGCTCTACATCTCGCTCGTCGAGGCTACAAAAGTGTCACCGTTCTCGATCCTCATCCAGTTCCTTCGCCCATCGCGGCAGGCAATGACATCAATAAGATTATGGAGCACAATGAGCTCAAGGGTACGACTGAAGTTTCTTGAGATATGAAGAGGATGTTCTGTCTTCTAACAGTTAGATAGATGGCTCATCCGACCCCCGAAGCGCAGCCTTTTCGACATTTACGCGGGCTGCTCTAAAAGCCTGGAAAACTGACCCGGTTTTCCAGCCTTACTTTCACGAAACTGGCTTCATTGTATCGGGTCACACACCTGCTCTGATTGACCACATACGAAAGGACGAGGTTGAACCGTCAGAAACAAGCTTCGTCAAGCTGGAGACAGCCGAGGACTTCCGCCGGACCATGCCGCCAGGCGTACTGACAGGCAACTTCCCTGGCTGGAAGGGCTGGTGGCACAAGACTGGAGCTGGGTGGATTCACGCCAAAAAGGCCATGATCTCTGCTTTCAATGAGGCTAAGCGCTTGGGAGTTAAATTCATCACTAGCTCTCCGGAAGGGAATGTCGTATCATTAGTATACGAGGATGGCGATGTAGTTGGAGCCAGAACCGCCGATGGTCGCGTACACAGAGCCCATCACACCATTCTTTCGGCAGGTGCTGGCAGTGACAGCCTGCTAGACTTCAAGAAGCAGCTTCGGCCTACCGCGTGGACTCTCTGTCATATTCAGATGGATCCAGAGGAGGTCAAGCGATACCGGAACCTTCCTGTGCTGTTCAATATCGCCAAAGGCTTCTTCATGGAGCCTGATGAAGATAAACACGAGCTCAAGATCTGTGACGAACATCCGGGCTACTGCAACTTTCTCTCTGATCCAGACAAACCGGGCCAGGAGAAGAGTGTCCCCTTCGCAAAGCATCAGATTCCACTTGCGGCCGAAGCGCGCGCACGAGACTTTCTCCGGGATACGATGCCGCATCTGGCTGACCGGCCACTGTCCTTCGCGCGCATTTGCTGGGACGCTGATACCCCAGACCGTGCTTTCTTGATCGATAGACATCCAGAACACCCCTCACTGCTAGTCGCTGTTGGAGGTTCCGGCAACGGCGCCATGCAAATGCCTACAATTGGCGGCTTCATCGCTGATGCTCTAGAGAGTAAGCTACAGAAGGAGGTGAAGTACGTCGTTCGATGGAGGCCGGACACAGCTGTCGATCGAGACTGGAGAGCGACTCAGAATCGCTTCGGTGGGCCTGACAGAATCATGGATTTTCAGAAAGTTGGAGAAGATCAATGGACCAAGATTGGAGAGAGCAGCGCCCGGTTATAGTCCGTCGGATTGAAGACTAGCTTAGATTTTGATTAAATGTAGCTGAGACCTTATATAGACAGCATGTTTGGAGCTTGTTACCGTACTTTGGAATAATAAAGGGGATTACTCTTGCGGTCAGTGGGATGGAGCGGAAAGAAGATTCCCACGAGAATATCTCGCGTAAAGCTTGTTCTGTAAGCCAAAAGAAGTTTGGAACGGGAAAGGAAATATGGCAATCACACTAATGTAAGGATACCTAGAGTGTAGCAGAACGTCAACTCACTTGCTGGCAAAGGCACAGCTTCCCATATCCATCTTGACCACCTCTGCCTCAGGCCGGATATCAAAATCAAAGATGTCCATTGGCACCCCCATCGTGGTGCACGCATTAGGAATATCCACAAGCCCCGCAATATGCCCCTGAACAGGGGCACAGCTCAACAGCAGATAGATCTGATAATCACTGTAACCATAGCGGCGAAGATACTCAATGACCCGCAGACAAGTCTGACGATACGCAACCATCGCATCCAGATAGTGCTGCTTGCCGTGCTCATCGACGGAGAACCCTTCGAAAGTCAGATACCGGCCGGGCCCGAACTGGGGTTCAACAGGGCCCGGGTGGAAGATGGGAGACTTCATCCCCATCTTCGCCATCCCGTCTTTGATCACTGTGAGCTTGAGCGTTATGATGCCCGCCATCTCGATGGCGCCGCAGAATGAGATTTCCCCGTCGCCTTGCGAGAAGTGGAGGTCGCCAACGGAGAACTTGGCCCCTGGGACGTGCACGGGTAGGTAGACTTTGGAGCCGCGGGAGAGGTTCTTGATGTCGCAGTTTCCTCCGTGTTCGGGACGGCCCTAGTCAAGTCTCTTAGGTTATGTCCGTGCGGTTCTGGGAGGAAGGTGTATACGCACTGGGATCGTCCTTGCGCCTTCTTTGGCGATCTTGGCTTTGAGGTCCTCGTCCGCACTGCCGGCATGGACATTCTTCGGTTCGGGGGGCTTTGCGACATCGCGGCCCCTGGTGTTTGCGGCAATTAGTTCGCCCTCACGACGATTCCACTCGGCGAGGATCTCGGCTGAGGGAGCGCAACCCAGAATACCTGGGTGGATGAGACCTGCAAATCGCACGTGGGGGATGTGCCGCGAAGAACAGAAGATTCCCTCGAAGTCCCAGATTGCTTTGGCACTATTGGGCGGAGGAGTCAGATATGTGCAGTATAAGGGGAAGACAAGCGCACGGTTCGGGATAGATCTCATCCAGAAACCCTCCACCATTATTGGGACTGAAGATTCCCGTGAAACCCCAGGGCCGGTCCTCGAATGGCTGGACGTCTTGGACTTCAACAAGCAGAACATCTCCAGGTTCGGCTGACTCAATCTCAAATGGACCGGAGAGATAGTGGATTTGCGTTAGGTCAACGTTCTTAATATCATCGGCAGAATCATTGTTCTTGATCTGGCCACCGGTCCAATCGAGACATTCGATCTTGACCACTTCGTTGTTGGCGATCTTGCCACAGGCAGGCACTGCAAGGATATCATATTAAGGGGAGTACTTTGACGATGTCATTTACAGCAGACGTACCATCTGGATGCCACCGATTCTAGCGATGTGTCAGCAATGTCAACATTCAGGGCTCTCTGACAGCACATACATGTAAGCCCGGTTGCTCCCAAGCAGGCTTATCGAGATCGACTTTGAGAGCGGTACGAAGTCCTTTGACGCCCATTTTGAGGTCACTTAGTCGTTCCTATAGGCAATATACCAAGAAAAGATAATATTATTGTTTGATGGCACGCGTAGTCTACCAGCCGCAGAAGATTGATAGGATCGCACAGGAACAGCACATCCTTTTGAATCCTCGCGTCAGCTTCAGGAACCGAGAAAACTCCCCTGTGAACCTACCCTTTCATCCGATATCAAGTATACCCCGCAGGCGGGGAGGATAGGATAGATGCTACTCCAAATTGTACTGAGCGCATTACGAGATGTCTACGTATCAGCGATGCATCCTTATCACCGTATCTCCCGTCGCTTATCAGCGGGCCTCCGCAGTGTAACAGCAAATCATATCCAACCAAAAAAGGCATCGTTCTGAAGTGAGATGACAACCACGGCACGAAATTCCTTCGCCGTGACAGATATGGTAGGTGCGGGATCCTACATCGACAGGGGATCTACCCTTCAGACTCAGGCCATTGGCTCTTGCTGTTTGCCGCCTTGCTCGAGCAGTGGTCCATCGATCCCAAGCCTTGCAACTTCTGCCGCATTAAAACATTGCCGGTTTATTCGGTCTATGAGACTTGGGCTCTTCAAGAGAACTTCCGTCCCGGACTTTCGGGTATTTTTGTCCCCTGCACTTCCCCCTCATTCTGTAAAGCCAAATTCAGCTTGTCCAGGTTATCTAATGACAGCCGCAGGAAATCATGCTTGTTCTTCCAGGTGACTTGGCTCTCGGCGAAACCTTCACTTTCGGCGGGACTGGGTGGGGGATCTGTGATCTTTGTGATCAGATATGCAGTCGATGCTTGTGCAACGCCGTACATCAGCACTCCGATGTAGGGTGCTTTGAGGACCACGGTGAAGGCGAAAGCGAAACCGAACAGAACACCTTGGCGATCCATAAACCAGCGGCGTTTCTGTTCTGGTGTGAAATGGATCCGGCAAAAGTAGGGCTCAAGCTATACACCATGTCAGACATGGAAAGAGACTGTCGCCACCGCGCCACCGCAACTCACCAGTTCACGCATTAGACTGCGGGATGCAAAGTACGTATGCAAGAATCTAACAATGAATCTCTTTGGGAGAACCAGACCTGTCCCGAAGATTACCGCGGCAGGAGTCGTTCCCACGCTGCTCTGGAATGTATAGAAAGAGGCTGCAGGCATGACGAATCTTCCCACAACAGGAAGAAGCGAGATCATGTAGAGTCCCAAGAGAGTCCCGAACTTGCGACCGTATCGCCGCAGAAACAGTATCATTGCCTCCGGAATCGGCTTTGAGACACCAGTAGCTCCTTTGGTTGAGTACATCGCTAGGTGCGGGTAGTACATGGCACGAAGGGTCCTCGGGTCGTCAGCCTTGTGCTTCTGAACGTAGGTTGAGTCAACCCATTTCAAAGACTCCATAAAGCTAAGCAATTAGCAAAGGACCTCTCGATATAAGGGCGTAGCCGGCTTACATCTCATCCAGAGTTGGTGTAATGTATCTCATTAAAGTCATGAGTAGAAAAGGTACCTGAAGAACAGAGTTGTTGAGGAAGTTCAGGCCATTCAAGATGTACTCATCCCATGAGGTACGATCTAGATCGGAGAACCATGATGCAATCCAGACGAGAAGCTTGACACCGATGATCTAGTCAAAGATATCTTAGCAATTGGCGAACCAGTAAACAAAGACTCAATAATAGCGCACCGGAATTTGAATAATCAGGTGGATGATCACTCCAACAGCTATTGCTAGAGCGGCCTGCCGAAAATGGTCATACTTGAAGAGCTCCGGATTTCGCAGAGCTCGAACAGCTTTCAAGAGTTGTTAGCATTGTTAATCGTCCAAACTTTCTCGGAACTACTAGACCGACCAAAAAAGGGCCGACTACAAGTAATAAAAAGGGCTTGGTTTCAACTTACTTCCGACGACTGTGAGCTGGAAACCGCGGATGACGGCATTAGGCTCAAAATTGGACATGACGGACGTTTGGTGAACCAGCGAGCTGGGTTATTCTCATGAGAGAAAGATAAAACACAGTAGGCTCCCTACCAGCGACAATTTGTCCCTTTAAATAGAAGTAGTCCACATAGTAATGCTAGCATTCAGTCTAGCAATGACTGGCACAGGCAACAAAATAGATAATGCAGGAAACATTGATAAATGCGTCATCGCATTTGATGATTGGGCAGATAGACGCCAGCCGCAACTTCATTACTAAGGCGACCTGAGGCGCGCGGACCCACCTGTTCATGAGGCTTTTGATGCCTCAGGCGACATTCCCCGCCTGTCGAAGTGAATCACGAGGGAGAAACGATCATCAGTGGTAGTAACTGGTAGGTAGCCATCATCAACAGCCGATGTCGATGATCATGATAGTTCCGTCTGATGGGAGATAACTCAATCGCCGTTCATTCCTTTGGTTCATCCATCTTTCACTCTCCTTGATTACATGGTCATTCCTTGTCTTTCCCTACACCATACCTCTCTATTTAGCTTTATAATTCACCCTTCTGTTACTGCTTTCTTCAATGTAACCCTTTTTATCGGTCGTTTCTTCCGCTATCAATATGCCCGAGTCCTCGGATGTACTCCCCGCTCATATTCAGTCTATCCGTCGATCTGCTACTTTGCCGACCAAACTACAACCCCGGAAGCAGCCCAGCTCCGAGTTCTTACGCACCAAAGCTTCCGAAAATGACCTGTTCTTCCATCCGTCTGCGAAGATAGTCCATTTCTCTCCCCGAGCCCTTGCGCCTATACCGTCGAGTACCGCCCCCGCCGATTTCGATTACCCGGTTGACACTATCGAAACTCTTCCATGGCGATCGGCGACTGAGCGAACAGTTGCCTGTGCGCCTCTGAGGCTTGAGAAGGTGCATGGCCTGACTGTCTTCCTGAAGTGTGGGAGTGTCGTTCATGCAATACTCAAAAACTCTCAGTGTTGGTGTGTGGACGGAGAGTCAACGTTTGTTCTGCGCATACGACCTCTCACATACTATCGCATCGAACTTCCGAATGAGACTGAGGAAGATAAGAAACTTGTGGCGGCTATGAAAGAGGCGCTTTTAAAAGTTCTGCGATATGAAGTAACGCCATGTCCCTTTAAAAGAGGTTTTACTGTTGAGCTACCTGAAGAAGCGAAAGCTCCGAGGCGGAAGCGAGCATGGCGCCCAAAGGGGCGAAGAGAAAGTGCCCCCGTTCGATCGATGTCGGTATCGGAAAATGCACCCGCCGCGGAAGACATGGCTCTGCTTAATGCAAGTGCTGGGGAAGACACGGATGGAAATACAACCGATGATAGCGG